TTAAAGAGGCGAAAGGATGGCGCCTTTGAGTTTTAGAGCGGAAGGGTGGCGCTCTTTTTTACCCTGTACTAAAAGGTGGTTCAGTGGTAAATCTTTATTGCGGCTGCTCTTAGTGAGCACAATATTGCGAGTGAGACATTAGGCCAAAGGCGTGACCTGATAGTAAGAGAGAGAGTTTGTACTATGTAAAAATGAATCAAGTGTGGATTCTTAGTAGTTGCTCTTAAAGACATCCAGAATAATCTACTGGAAATTAATTGATGAGTAAATGTTCAGATGCAGTTTCAAACTCCAGTTCTGGTTCGGTCCGCAAAATGGCCTTTAGCGAAAATTACGAAGAAATTTCTGTCGATACGAGCATGAGCGACCGACTTTTTGTTGGAAATTTCATCTCAGTACGAAACGACTTTGTATTACTTCTTACGAATACGACGAGGGTCACATGTTAATCGTACCCTCCATTGTTTGGAGTTAGTGCTTCTGAGTAATAAGTCAAAGAATTTGCCAATACTTCAAAAAATTCCGCATTTTTATTTCAGAACACCTTTTGGATGAAAGGCACATTTTATAGTTAGCAGATGCATACGCTGGGTAAATATCTTTTCGAGTGGCCCTCGAAACATTCTCCGTTACCCTTGTTGACTTTTAAGCGATTCGTTTTGTATGCAGATATGATAACACACAATCAACGAGACGACACCCTGTTAAGAAAACAAATAGCCACAGGAAAAATGTCTATAAAGTCTCATCAAAACTGGAGCATGAACAACAACTTCTGGCGTTTCGCTTTCTGAACATCAATCCAAAAGCGAAATCGCTCGATTTTTTGCCCCAATTATCATAGAAGATTTATCAGTAACATGTACCAACAAAATGTAAACCTAGAGCAATGCACATAAACATAGAAACATTAACGGGATCATATGTGAATAACGATTTTTAAAATGTTTAATTTTGAAGATTTACAGATCACCTAAATACAACAATTCGGTCACGATAATTGAAATAGACTAGAAAGTACCTAGCTTAACACCAGCTCTATAAGGCACTACTATCAAGTGTTAAGCATTACTTGTAACAACGTACTGAGTAAGCAGACAGACAGAGGAGAATGATCATAAATAGCAGTACTATCCTATATCTTCTTCTTCTCAATCTCTTTTTTGCCCCATATGTCAGCAAACGCCAAAGTTCCAGCAAAAACAAGGAGCGCTCCTATCCAGTGCTGACCTAAGATGTACTATTATGCAATATCTGAAGATTTATCATATTATTTAAGAACTTATCCAGAACGTAAGAAAGATATCAGATCTAGATCTACTGAAATCAAAGATAAGGTTTTGGTCAAAGCACTACAAGAAAAATTTTAGAATGATAAAAGGTCGGAGAACAAATATAGTTTGTTCGCATAATACAAATAAAATATTAAAATCACAAATTGAGCGCAGAGAAACACAGACCTGTGAAGGGATTCTGGAACCACCAAATAGAGACAACCAAAGAAAGAAACTTTCTCAGTGTAACCACAAGGGTGACAGTTAGCGCCTCGACCTCGGAATTTAGCCGATACACAAACCGGATGCAATAATATCTGAGTAAAAAACCTTTGAAACAAACTCTCACTTACAAAGAAATGAAACTCACTGTAATATGCAGCTTAAGAAAAGATTCATCCACAGAGATGGAATTTGCAGAGAAATGCCGGCAAGTTCA